TAACCCACCAGCCCCCACTGCCCTCCCAGAGCCGGGGAGAGAACCCAGGAGTCCTGGCTCCCAGCCCCCCTCCCCTCCCAGAGCCGGGGAGGCCCCAGCAATACACTAACATCGCCTAGAGCTGGGCGGGACCCTGCACGGTCAGTGACTCCGGCCCCGCCTGCACTGGCAGGACCAGGGGCTGATTTTGCCCCACGTGGCCCCCGGGGATTGAACTCGCCGCCCAATGCTCCAAGCACCCCCCCCCCGGCCGGGCGGGGCCTTTGCCAGCACAGAGTTTTCCCTCCCTAGAGTGTCCCCTTATGCACCATAGAGTTGGGCTGTGGTATAGAGTGGCGCTCCTGCCCAGCATCATAGAGTCCCACCGCCCTAGAGCGTCCACCCGCATATCAGAGAAGCGTCCGGCTGGGCCGCCTCCTCGGGACATAGAGTTGGCGCCTTGTGCTAGGGCGTCGTTCGCATGTATGATAGAGTTTCTCCCGACCTAGAGCGTCCCTCCCGCCCACACCATAGAGGTCTCCCGACCTAGACTGTCCTTTTCCTGCACCAGCGACGCCTCTCCCTTCCACCCGGATCATAGAGTGAAGGACACATGCTCTACAGAGTGTCTCCCTCGCCTGCACCATAGAAGTCTGCACCCGCACCCTAGAGCGTCTCTCGAGCCGCCTCATTTACCATAGAGTCGCGAATTCCTAGAGCGTCCCCCCTACACCCGCACCATAGAGTTCCTTGTGCCCGCCGCGCAGAGTGCGCCCGGCCCCTGCCCCTTCCCCACTCAGGCGCCATAGAGGGCGGTTCCGCTCCAGAGCGCCGCGGCGCCGCCACTTCCGGTGCTCCTCCGCCCGGCGCCACTTCCGCTTCCGGCTCCTGCATCCGGGGACCCGGCGGGCGGCGGGAAGCCGGCGGGGCGCGCGCGTGGGGCCGAGAGCGAGAGCGAGAACCGCGGCGCCGGGCCCGTCTCCAGGGTAACCGGCCCCGCCCGCCCGGCGCCTCCCGCCATGGGCGACAGCGACGACGAGTACGACCGGCGGCGCCGCGACAAGTTCCGGCGCGAGCGGAGCGACTATGACCGGTCCCGGGAGCGCGACGAGCGGCGGCGGGACGACTGGAGCGACAGGTGGGGGCGGGGCCGCGCCCGGGGGCGGGGGGCGCAGCTGTCCCCGGGGGGGGGGATATA